GGACAAGCCTAAGCTAGATGTTAGGGGTAGCGCGACTAGATACATATGTATTTTGATTGTTTTTTCGCATGACTAAAACATGCTCTTGCGATAGCTCAGTTGGTAGAGCGGAGGACTGTAGTTCCTTAGGTCGTTGGTTCAACCCCAGCTCGCAAGATTTAAAAGCTCTTTTTGGCGGTCGGGAAAATATATATATATATATATATATATATATATATATATATATATATATATATATATATATATATATGTATATATATATGTATATATATATATATATATGTAGCTCGGAGCCTAATTCAAAATAACCGGAAACTTTGAAAGCTTACAGCGAAGCATATAGTCTAAATAGCTCGGAGCCTGGCTCGGAGCCGGTCCGTTCGAAGCATAGTATTTAGTTGACAACACTTAGTTTATGTCTACACGGTAAAGTTACTGCCTCTTCGTCTACGAAAAATATGGTACATTTTGATTTGGTGGGGAAAAACGTTTAGAACAGCGGTAATATATTTTGCCATAAAAAAGTAATCAAATGTGTGGTTGCTATATACGTTGCCATGTGTTGTCAGTCATTAGCGACGCTTGGGTGCATGCATATATTAATGTACAACATAGTTGTACTCAGGCGGGCGGTTCGCGCGGGAGGAAAAGAGCGGGCTTTGCGGGAAAAATTGACACAAGATTTCAATTACATTTAATGATTAAAAGATTAAAATTACATTTATTTCTTCAAAGCGTTTTACAAAATTTAGCACGGTCTACTTCTGAGAGAATAACGTTTAGGTGTTTTTGTTATTTTTAAAGAGTTCTCACTTTCTTTCCAATCAGAAGAATCTACCCAATTGTGAAAAAAGTTGCGCTTGAGTTTTGGTCGTTCCTCTTCTGTTGGTGGCGGTGTAAGGAAATTAGGTTTAGGAGTAGCAGGTATTGGTGATGGTATTTCCGTTGGTACAGAAATAGGATGTACTTGTGGTGGCATTTCCGATGATACAGGAGTAGTAGACACTAGTGGAGTTATCTGAACAGGAGCTTGAGCCGGGACATCCATCTTATTTTTGAAAGTCAGAAACCGGTTTAGTTGATCAGAATATAATTGCTTTTTTCCTCTGCGCAAAGCTGTGGCGCTCCCATGATTTCTTTCATTCTTTGTCTGGCATCATACATTGCATTTAATTGTGGTGGTTGTTGATACGACTGTTTTTGCATAAACTTTGCAATCTCGCCGGAAAGTACGTTGGTTTTGAGTCGTTGTTGGTCGTCTGTTGTTGGCTTTAAATCCAACATTAAATATCGTGAGGTCGGCTTGTGGCATCTTCATAACTCCTCATAAATTTTTGCACTTTATCAGGATCTACCTGCCTTGCAAGCATAGAAATTTGCTGTTTATCTCTTGGTGACTTGAACAACACGATATATTCTCATTTCCTTGCCCTGATTAAATATATTTTGGACAATATAGATGATAGACAAATTACGGTGATGGCTTCCTTTGGTGAAAAGGTCAGCAATACAATACTAGATTGTGCCATGAGATCGCCTCATGGCACAACATATCAAAATAGGAGGGTTGCCATTGACCATAACACCAGATAATAGCTACATTGAGGAGCATGCAGGACTTATGGTCGTCTGAGCATTTGTCATGACAATACTAAATTATGCCGTGAGATCGTCCAGTACGGTCAAATTCCGTTGCGATACGTCCAAGTAGTCTGTGTTGTCGATGTCTTTTGGAATGCCCTTATTAAACTCGATTTCAGGAATCGCCCTTAACATATCAAAATAGGAGGGTTGCCATTGACCATAACACCAGATAATACGTTGAGGAGTAGGACTTATGGTCGTCGGAGCATTCTCCAAAAGAGATTTTACCCATGCAGTTTTGCCACTTTGTGTACACCCAGCTACGATGCACGTAAAAGGATGCTGCATAACACTGGACCTATTGCCAATTACACTTAACCTTCTTTCATCTGTACTGGTGCTATGCATCTGGTTTTTGTGACGTGAACGGTTACCAGGTGTTGAAAACTTTCTTCCACAGACTTCGCAGGGATAGGACATGTTTACAGGTTCACAATCAAATGTAAAATGAATTCGAAGTTTGTGTACCGTTACATAAATAGTATTATATGGTCAAAACTGATATCTTAAGATATTGATGTCCTAAGATATTGATATCCTAAGATACTGATATCCTAAGATATTGATATCCTAAGATACTGATATCCTAAGATATTGATATCCTAAGATACTGTATGATATCCTAAGATATTGATATCCTAAGATATTGATATCCTAAGATACTGGTATCCCAGAGGAGGAATGAGGGTCTTCCCACAATGCATTGCATCTCATTATTATTCACAAATTACGATTTTCAGCGAACATTTGGCGAAAAGTTGTTGAAATACATTGCGATTTTGGCTCCTTATATCTCGTTTTTTCAAAGGTATGTTTTTATATTTGTATTATTTAAGAACCTAACTAAACTATTTTTGACTTGTTTGGTACAGGAATTGTTTTTTAGTTGTGATAATTACGCCTTGTACTTATGCGTGATTCGGGTCGGTGAACACGCCACAAAAGTGGCTTTCAAAAAATGCAGAAGCTATATTCATTTTTTTGAGGGGAAATTAAAATAAAACACGCCATCGAATTAAGAAAAGTTTGTTCTTTCAATTAGTACTTTAAAACTCAAAGTAGCTCGACGAAATTGACTAGTAATCGCGGTTTGAAAATGGGGTACTTTTGCTATATTCTATCGCCGATGGCGGGAATAGATCGCGTGACAATCATCATGGCGCGAAGGAAACTATTGTACGAATCGCTATTTTCCATGATAATTTTGAAACATACACATGTAATTATGTTCCTACATATTTTTAGTTTAATGTAACTTTTAAGGTTAGATATGCTTATACGGCACTGACTGTATTTTTTTCATTTTATTATAGAATTCAGCTATTTTGGAGTAAAACTGGATGATACTGCTATAAAACGGGTATATACTTCTAAGGGTGATACCCAAGGGAAACCTAATAATAAGAGACACAGAATTTCACGTTTGAAGAATTCAACATCAAGTCGAACTTTGTTTCAGAGTCCTGAAACATCACCAAAGGTATAAAGTACAAAGGTTTTTGCAAACATAAAATACAGTCCAACTGTACAAAAACATTGTATTTTAACCATTTAAGTCAGAATGCTCTCTGATGCACCCTACTTTAGTATTTTACTCTGTCTAACGCCAGACGATTTTACTCGTCAAGTGGAGAGTGCTGCCACTCAATGGGTTAATGAGACAATGAGATGTTAATGGGGGGAGGGGAGGGGAAGGGGGGCTAAAAGTTATCATTATAGTAATAGTAACATTGTATTTTAATACTTTTTTTGCTTGTGAGAATTTCTGTCCATAGGCGTACGAGGCTGGGGTTGGGCAGAATTCTGCTTTAAAAATTGGGCAATTGTTTTAAGATTTACTTTAAACAGTATTGCTGCAAGCCTGCATAGGAGTTATGTTCCTTCTATTTTATACCTCTTGTTCATCTATCAATAAATTCATGACAATGTCGGGCGATTTATATCTACCCGTACGCCAATATTTTTCAATGCTGGGAGTGGCATATCAGAAAACCTATAGTACACAAATTTCCCGGAGAAGCATGCCCACAATCCCGGTAAAAATCCATGAGTTTCTTTGTTGTTGTCTTATTATGCTGGCACTGACATTGCCCCTCTCACTTTTGCTGTTTGTTTTGTAGTTTCCTATCAGAAAGATTAAAACCGACTCCTCCAAAGAAATTCCCAGTAAAACCTCATAAATGGACATTTGAGGAAGATAAAGCATTCATTGAATTCATATCTGTTGCAGACAATCATGCAAATGATTACGATTGAAGAGGTTTACCAATTATGTAATACCTCTAGATTGTTTTAATGCATCATTAAGCTAGAGCAAAAGCATCACTTTTCATATACGTCATCATATAGCATCCATGTGTACTGGTGAAATGAATGTGTGCAACATTTTAAAATTGTGCGCATAAAATTTTATTTTTAAAAACATTTTAATTATCTTTAAGTACAATAATATTACGTTCATATTTTTTCACTTTTAAAATAAATAAATTTTATGAACATCAATTATGTAGTGTGTGATCTTTTTATTAATTTGTGATGAGCTATATACACTGAAAATCATGAAAACCATACATACCATCAACCTCATACCCAGGGACTTTCCTCTTGGGCTGGTCACATGATCTGCTAAAATCTAGCAGATTTTTAATTATCAATCCAAGATGAGGTCAATAAACATTTGATATTTGGATTATTTTGATAGTTTAATTTATAATTTGTATTTTGTATGATTGTCGTAAACAAAACCAAGATAGTTAATTAGAAATCTGCTAGATTTTAGCAGATCACGTGACCAGCGTCTACCAGGGTCATTGCTCCCCAAGAGGAAAGACCCTGGATAC